GACCGGACTAAACCACCTTGGGATGGAGACTGGAAACTTGTGAAAGACTGAGACCCTGAACCACTCTTTTTATATGTGTCTGAATTGGTAGAATTACTGCTAGTCTGAGATCTTGATACAAAATTCTTTTTATGAGACAGAGCATAAGTATCAGATATGACTGCTGCCTGTTCAAGAGTTTTCACATTCTTATTTTCTAAATGTGTTTTCAAATCTTGAGAAACACATTCCTTAAACTCTTCTACCAGGATGATCTAAACCAATGATCGAATAAATCTTCTTTCTCTCGTGAAAATTCAACAAATGTTTGATTATCAAACTTTCTATACTTTCTGAACTTTTGTCTATACGCTTCAGGTACTAATTCATATGCTTTTAATATTGATGCTTTGACCTTCTCATAGTCTGAACTCTCAGCTACCCCTAGTGCAGAGTATACCTCAGCTGCTTTGCCAACCAGTACACTTTGTAACATTGTTGACCAAACATTCTGTGGCCATTTAAGATTCTCTGCGACTTTTTCGAATTGGGGAAAATATTTGTCTACAGATTTTTCTTGAAATTTTGGAACTAACCTAATATTTTTTGCTGCATCAAATTCAGTCTTGACAAATGACGGTTCTGGTTGATACTGTGATCTTAATTTCTCTAATTCAAAGTGCTCTTGTCTTTCTAATTTGTCTAATTCAAATTTTCGTTCACGCTGTCGTTCTTCTCTTTCTCTTTCTCGCTCTTCTCTTTCTAATTTTTCTCTTTCAAGTCGCATTTTCTCTAACTCTAATTGAAACTGATATTCTGCCATTTTATAAGAGCCTAACTCTGATTTAAACTGTATATTCTGGAAGATCATATTTTTCAAAGATGTTTTCTTCTACTTTATTTGTTTGCAACCTTAATTCTAATGTCTTGCTTTCTCTCTGAGAGGATTTAACATCTAACCCAAAATGCAAACCTAATGCGAATCAAGTCATCCTTTTTTAACGTTTCAAAAACCTGAACACTTGGTGAACTAAGAAAGTCTGTGACCGAAAACACCATGTTGATTTCTGCTGGCTTATAATCAAATTTAACGGTTCAATAAACAAAATTCTGACAATAAACTGCAAAAGTGCAAGAAATTCTTTATCCCGGACGAGCCCCCAATTCTGTTATGGGTCAGAATAACCCTAAATGCCAGCAAAGATCAATAACACAATTTAAACTTAACAATAATTTATTTACAGTAATATATAATAAATATATCAAACATAAAGTACAAACTTAGCAAGAATCTAAAAATACATACATCAGAGTGTCCGTTGCTGCACACAATGTCCCAGTGAAAATATATCCCATTTATATCTCAATAGTGCTTATACGACAAAGTATATCTATGCATCGAATTGACAGGGTATTTATACAGTATTATAAATCTAGAATATTCTAGAAATTGTTAAAACATGATATTACTGGAACAATCTGGACATACACAAAATTTAAGAATGTTCTAGATCAAATGACCGAACATGTTGACCACTCTGGAATGTTCAAGAAACTAAATGTTACTAATAATATAAAAGATGAAACAATACAAATACAACACATCACACAACAATGTTATTTAAATGATATCGAAGATGAATTTCATATTTTGTTTATTTGTCCAGTTTTTTCATGATTTAAGAGAAAAGTTCATCAAACATTAATATACTCCCGGAAACCAAGTGTCTTCAAACTAATACAACTATTTTGTAGTACAAATCCCGAAGGTGTAAATCATTTAGGGAAATATATTTATCATGGATTAGAATTTAATTTTAGATTCAGGATTAGAATTTCTAAAACAATTAGCTATAAATAATAGGATCTATTTATCACAAGTTTGCAAGTTTATTACATGTTATTATACTATTCAATTCAATTCTTTATTTCCTTATGCCATATGATATGGCACATCAGACAATTACATGTATTATAAACAAGGTATACATATATTCAAATCTTTCAGTTATATAATAAATTTTTACATACATATCATATTCTACAAAAATTTAGTGCGTTTCTAAAGGGTGCGCAGAAATTCTCAGTTTTGTTAGTTTACAATTTCAACGTACAGTTTTATCAATTGGAAATTTCAAATAGTCTTGTAATTCATAGGCGTCGGAACCGGGGGGTTCCGACGCCTATGAATTAAGATAGACTTAAAATTGATATTGGCATTGAACATTGCGGCGTAGGTTTAGCCCCCCCCCCCCCCTTCCACTTTCCACAGACATGATGCAGTGTAGGTTAAAAAGTGTGGAAAGTGGTAGTGTTTTGAAAAAAAATTGGTACATACATGTACTGAAAAATTTGACACCCCCCCCCCCCACACATACACACAAACACACGAAATAGGATTATCGTGATTGGACAACGGACATATCCCCCCTTTTTTTTGCTTGTCAGTTTTTTTGTAGGTCTAATTAGATCTGAATTATGCAGTTCTTTCAGCTTTGTTTTGTGTGTTCTACTTTGACTGAAAAATAATAATTTACCACATTCCGTCATTTGGAGAATTCAGAGACATATAATACATATAATCTATTATACTGTTATACGTCTCTGGAGAATTCAATGTTTCAATGTTCTGATTATTTTTTTTTTATGTAAAAGTTAAAAAGAAAAACAGTTACAGTAATAACTGAATTTACGTAATCAAAGATTTTAGTTCTTTGTTTGTGGTATTTAGTAGCTTCGTATGGATTCACAAAATGTTTTCGTAACATCCTTTACGTTTTTATATTTAGAGCCCGAGGTGTTCCGAGTTATTCAGTTTGGCTTGGAAGGGCAAACAGTACAGACAGAGGGATAAAAGGAGGAATACAATCGCTATGAATCGGGCTTAAAATTCAGCAATCGAATACGTTTTCTCAATTGATAATAATTTTAGATACCTCTAGAAACCAAAAATGTATAGCCAAGAGGAAGGTAATAGGTTTTAATATTATTTTGAACGATTTCAGTCGGGAATGTAATGTTTTGAAAATCGACTTCCGGTGTAAACGAAAACTGCGCGTCTCTTCTCATTTTCCTCATGTCATCAAAAATAAAACATTTCATTATTTAGGAAAGATACTTTAAGACTCAACATGAAGCGTACTTTATATATGTTCACAGTTGAATTAATAAATTACAATCCAAACAATTTATGAGATTTGGCCATTGCCCAGACTTAGAAAAAGTAGATCGAGATACTCTCTGTAAAGGAAATTGGTAATTAAATATTGCTAAAGACTAATCCAGAAACCATTATTTATGTCATGTATGTCCATTGATTTGAACTTTTAATCCAGAAAGGGACCTATGGTATTTTTTTTATGCGAACTATGTGAAGAAAAGTTCCATACATCATGTACATAAAAGCATTACATGAATATTGTTTATAACAGAAATGATGTATGAGGCTGAGGACGACGGTGATGAAATCACCGCGGACCTCTGGCAGGAGGCTTGCTGGATCGTCATCAGTTCGTATTTTGATGAGAAAGGTTTAGTACGACAACAGCTGGACTCGTTTGACGAGTTTATACAGATGTCCGTTCAGCGAATCGTGGAGGATTCGCCTCAGATAGATCTCCAAGCGGAGGCGCAACACACGTCAGGAATGGTGGAAACGCCGGTAAGTTACGGAAAATAAGTATCTATAACTGACTCTTGCCAGGGACAAGATATATAAGATGTATCAGAACATTATTGTCCCACATTCACTGATTCATTGATTGACAGAATATAGTTAGGTGAGCTGCAGCATAAGAATATTTTTTTCTGACATCCATTATAATATTGCAAAGATGAAAGCTCCAGTGAGTGTGGTTTATATGTTTAAATTAAAGTGGAATACAGAAGGTTTCAAGCAACATGATATTTGAATTTTGTTAGTCTGGCACCATTTGTAAAAGTACATGTATTGTATATTCAACACTGAAACAAAATCTGAGTTGCTGAAGAATACAAAATTAGGTTTGTAAAGATGTTTGAACTCTTGATTTGAGTTTGACTCTCCAGTCAATTGTGACAACATGATGTTCAGGTTATGTAATCAAGTTTGTAAAATAAAAGATAAATTATTTCTGAAGGAGGCTGCAAAATTGCTGGAATAAATATTATAATATCAGAAACATCATAAAGGCCCTGCTTATGTTTGACTTTGAGCGAATTCACTTTTGGAATGAGATTTAATAGATATAAACTCTATTGTAGCCGAGATATCTGCTGAAGTTTGAACAGATTTATCTGTCTAAGCCTACCCACTGGGAGAAGGACGGAGCTCCCAGTCCCATGATGCCTAACGAGGCTCGACTCAGAAACCTCACGTAAGTCAAATTAATATTGATCATTGTTTATTACTACATGTACTAAGCAATGGATATAAAGTATGAATTGCTGTATAACTGTTGGTTCTCTAGTTTGATTTGATTGTTAAATGTCCGTGCAGGTAAAAATAGGAATTGTACACTATATTTTCAACATTACACACATCAAGCACATGTCGAATTGATCTTATGAATGATTAATTTCTTGTGAATAAAGTTACAACATTGTAAAAAATAGAGATGAATCATCATTAGCTATTACAATTATTGCTCTAATATACTGTAAACTTCCTAATTCAGATACTCTGCCCCATTATACGTGGACATCACTAAAACAGTAGTCAAGGAAGGTGAGGATCCAGTGGAAACCCAGCATCAAAAGACCTTCATTGGCAAAATACCCATCATGCTTCGCTCCACTTACTGCCTTCTGAACAATCTTGTCGACCGTGACTTGACAGAGTTGAACGAGTGTCCATTAGACCCGGGGGGTTACTTCATCATCAACGGGTCAGAGAAGGTCCTCATAGCTCAGGAAAAGATGGCCACAAACACAGGTAGAGTCTGTAAAAACTTTGAAACTTGTACAAAATAAGACTGACTGTTAACTTATCAGGGTTGTGAAATTACAAAAGTAAATTACCAGCCCGTCAGGCAATGGTGGTAACAAAGTTACTAGCCCAAGGTTGCCAGTCACTAGCCCATTAACTACCAAAAACAATACATGTATAAGTATAACATAAAGGTTAAAAAAACCCATTGAAGTTGAAATAAATAAAACAGATAATGGTTTGCGCTTTGTAATTGTCAGGTACTTCCCCCTATTTATGTCGACTGTAATTGTCACTGAGACGACAGGCAATAGGAACACACAATGCACATAGGTTAAAACGAATTAAAGATTATGATTTTACAGAAAAGTTAATTTGTACCTCAATTCAGTCGAGGTAAATATATGTTTACTTTCGTTTTAGATTTACTAGCCCGACGGGCTAACACAGTATAGATTTAAGATAGCCCGACCTCTAAAATTGGTAGCCCCAGGTGTCGGGTGATGGTAATTGCACACCCCTGACTTATTCTGAATAACAGATTCTGAAAACGTCAAGAACGATTTACAGTCAAACATTCTGTAATCTCAAACTCTGTTGGATTGCTAAAAACCGAGAAATATTCAAGGATTCAATATATAGAGGATAGGATACAAAAAGAATACAAAAAGAAAAAAAGTGTCTTGGACTTCCTAACTTTTTTATTTAACGTCATATTATATCCAAATTTGGTACAAATATTTTAACAACAGATTCAAATAATTTGAGTAAAAATTTGGAATGTATCCTCATATTTATTAAAATTACCAAGGATTTAGAACAGCAAAAATGGGGTCACGGAGCACCGTCAAAATTGAGTAATTTTCTAATTTTTCACTTTATAGTAATTACAGCTATACCTCTAATAAATGGAGCTGAAACGAAATAAAATTTACATGTTTAAATAAAGTATTGCTGTATTAATTAAAATGAAATCAGGTTATGTAATATCTCGTTCCATTTAAAAGGTATCAGCTTCTAAATACATATGGACTTGATTAAAAAAGGCAAAAAACTATGACGTTGGAAGACGTCACGAAGCAGCGAGTAGCACTAAAATTAGACTTTACATTCGGGAAACTTTTTTTACAAGCCTAAAAAATCCTTATAAATCAGGATCTGTATGAAAAAAAATCTGTGTATTTGTATTAAGTTGAAAATACAATATTTGAGTGGTAGCGAGTTTGAATCGGACGATGGATTGTCTACAAAGAAACAGGTTCAAGTTAAAAATATTGTCAAAAGAGTTAGGAACGTCATTAAACGTGATGTGTGCTTCAATGTTGCAGAAATAATAAAGTTGCATGGTAAATCAAAGAATTTAAAAACAATAACATTCTAATTCAAGCTATATTTGTACAATTGTTAGCAAACCAGGTGTTAAGTATTGTTGATATGTGTTTTGAATGGAGAAGACGTAACAAACCGTGTTGGAAATAACAAAAATGTGTATACTTTTGACAAACTTTCTCAGCGTTGTTTTTGACGTTACAATATTGGTTAACCGTGCTCCGTGGTAACATAACATGTTGCTTTTAATTTTGGCTAACGTGAGTTCTTTTTAATCAAATGGAATGGAACTTCACACTTCGACAAAATAAATGTTTATGTTTACTAAAATGTGTTGATCTATAATCTTGTAATAATCATATGACGATGAGAAGCATTTTCTACGTATTTTTTTAATGACCCTCGTATTCTGTATTTGTATTTGGTAAAATCAAAATGCCTTTCCTAATATTTTTCTTTACTAGAATTCCTAATCCACCAAAATATCTATTATTTGATGACTTTTCTCTACATATTAGGGTAATATAGGAAGTCTTTAATTTCAATATGAGTATTAAAACCAATATGGGTTTTCGTGAGTAAGACCAGGTCATGATTTTTTACTTGATCGACAAACAGCTTATCTGTTGATTTGTTAATATTGTCTGATATCATACCTCCCACATTCCAAGTGCAAATATTCAAGCATGTATCTATTTTACTAATAACCATTTGTGCATGTGGTTTTCAATTTATCAAAATAAAAGAAGAATAAAAGATAGGAAAGAACCAATTTAAAAAATCTGTAAAAAAGAAAAAAAATAGCAAGAATAATAGATAATTCTTTTACCACTTTAATATTTGTGTGTTGAATTAACGTTATCAATGTACTTTGTACTAATGCCAATACGCACTCATCAGGCTGTTTTTTTTGGTATGCATCTCTCCTTTGGTCGTAGGGTGGTCGATCATATTCAAAATAACCTCTGTTGTCTTGATAGTGGCCGCTAGATCTTCCTCCGAAGCTTTTTTTGGGATAGTTCTTGTTCTTATATCTAGCACCTTGTTCCTGGCTCCTGCGTGATATGCTACAGATGTTATCAATCATTTTCTTCATATTTGAAGCTAAAACAGCTGTTCCCTCTGTAGTGAGATGGACTCCGTCTCTTTCGATAAGTCTTTCTATAGGTTTACCTTGCTCGGCTAAGTTGCTGTTATCACAGAGAAATATGTTTTGTGATTTTCTCAACTTCTGTTTAAGCATTGCATTTATCAATTCGCCTTTGTCATTCCAATCATCTCTGTCCATCCGTGGTGTGGCTAAAGAGAGGACAATTTTGGTTTCTGGGAATTTCTCTGATGTTTTTTCAATTAGCGATTTCATCTTTTTGACACATCCTTCTTCATCAAGCTGGGATTTGATATCATTTGTTAACGAATGGAAAACTATCACAGCTGGCTTCACATCAGGGCCATAATTTTCAATTTTTTCAATGGCATTTTCAATTTTGTAAGCTGTTTCCTTTTGTGTCGTGTAGTTCTGCCACCTACTCTGGTAAATGTGTTTTATGTTTGATGTTCCAATGAGAAGGAGGGGAGTTTTTTGGTTTCTGTTGTTTTTCTTTCCCCGTGATCGTGTGCTGTTTGATCATCCATATTTCCAGAATTAGTGGTTGAGGTGTAGGTTTGCTCAGGAGGACCGACTTCAGTTGTGTTTGCTGGCATCTTATTTCGCTCTGGTTGTTTGTTTCTTATTTCTTTGAAGCTGCCTGCATTTATGTCTGTGATACTGCCTATGTGAAGCTTCATTTTGTACAGTTCTTCTTCTTTGCAGTCTATCATACTTTTAAAAGAACGAACAGTATTTTCCAGTGACTGAATTTCAAGGTTCTTCGATTCAATTCGTGCAGAGAGATATTTTTCTTCTTTCTGGGCGTTTTCAACAACTAGGCTAAGTTTCACTCTGGTATTTTCATGTGCCCTCTTCTCTTCCTTGTATTTGTCCTCTAAATTAGATCTTTGGTATTCAAGAGTTGACACTTTGTTCATCAGGTCACTGTTTGTTTTCTGGAGCTTGGTCAATGATTCTCTCAATTGTCTTACTTCAAGATCTTCCTTTTGTTGTTCTGTTGTAACTTTCTTGCACTCACCTTTTCCACATCTCTCCTTCATGTCAGCCAGTATCACATTGATGTCATTTATCGACTTTTGTAGGTAAGCTTTCTGATTCTGCTGGGCCTCCTTTAGTTGTTTATCAATGTCATTGAATTTTATTGCAATTTTGTTTGATAACTGGATGTAGATTTTGTCAGTCATGTCCACTAAATTCCCTTCCAGTTTGTCAAATTGGGTTTTCTCGGGATGGATTCTATCACTGTTTTTCGAATTTGCAACTGTTTTCACTCCAGTGTTTTCAGAAATGGGCGCCTTTTCACCCAAAATCTCAGTGTTTAGGTTTGTAATATTTGTCTGCTTTGGTTCATTTTCAACTGTTTTCCCTCCAGTGTTTTCAGAAATAGGCATCTTTTCACTCAATATCTCGGTGTTTAGGTTTGTAATGTTTGTCTGCTTTGGTTCATTTTCAACTGTTTTCACTTCCGTGTTTTCAGAAATGGGTGCCTTATCACTCAATATCTCAGTGTTTGGGTTTGTATTTGACTGTTTTAGTTCATTTGCAAGTTTTTTCAGACATGGAAATATCTCATTGGTGAAACAGTGTTTGGCATTTCCTTGGACCTGGATTGTTCCTGTTGTAATAAAAAAGGTGATTTTAAAGAGCATTTCATCTGTGTTTTCTTTTCTGTAAACATCAATGTTTATTGCATTCGCAACGCTATGGTTTTTCCATTCCTCCGGAACGTCGTACCATTTCACCACAAATTCTGCTGAGTTTCCTATTCTTTCATAGAAGATAATATGTAGTGCTTGGATGTATGGGTTATCCATCTTTCGTTCAACTCGGAAGACCGCCATATTGGCCTCTTCTGCATATAAATGTAGGTTGATTTGTTCAAGGTTAGCTTTCCTAGCTTTACCAGTTGGTGGTCGTAAAGATGTGGGAATACAGCTGTCTGGGTATTCATTGACAGTTTTGTAGCATGACTGATTGTTATAATTAATAGTCTTAATGACGTTTTCGAAGAGCATATTGTCTCTGAGAAAATTCGGCTTACACACGTGGGGCTAATATTTTTGGAAATATAGAACCTGAGCGGATTGTCGATGTACAAATAGATTTTACATGTACAGTGAGCACATTTCTACTCACCCACAGGTTTTAATTGTGTATAATACAGTTTAGATTCCCGACAGGATTAATTACAGATGGGAGCAAATTTTTGCCGCTCTGTTGTTTACGGTCGGGTTTGGTATATACATGCAATTACTTAAAGACTCCCAGGAATGAATTCAAAAAGCATTTTGGACATTCACATGACTATACGCGTCAGGGGTTCTGATGTTATGGCGGGCTCTTTTGATTATATAGTGAAAATCCATTAAATCTTTGAAAATTTTCTTCTCTGTCTCTGGGTATGAAGCAGATTAACTACCTATATAGTCATGACGAGCAAGGGCCCTTATCTTGCAGACTTGTGAATTTCAAGGACCCTGGGTCAGGGGGGGGGGGGGCTCTACTTATTTACTGAAAATAAATTGTTTGAAATCTGCTCCTTTGTATTTATAAAACATTCATTTATTTTTTGATAGGCAATTTTAAGAGTGTCTTATTAAATTT